AAGTGACAGCAGGACACCCCAATTCTGAGGAATTCCAGAAAGAATTCAATCAGTAAATCCTTAAACCCTCAGTGAATTTACACTGCACTTAACCCCGGGGTGTGGGACCCTGCAGTGGCCAGGGTCAGTTTGCACATTCAGATGTGTAAAAACACAAAGGGACATGGACAGAACACCCAAAAAGAAGGTTCTGGAGGTGCAAATGTCACCCTGGAGCAGCCAGAGTGAGTTTTCACACTCAGGTGTGTAAATACACAAAGGGATATGGGCACATATCTCAAGTACAAGGATCTGGAGGTGGAAATACCACCCTGGAGCAGCCAGAATGAGTTTTCACGCCCAGGTGTGTGAATAAACACAGAGAGCTGAACACAGGTCCCAGAACTGCTTCTGAACACAGCAGAAGGATCTGGAGGTAGAAATGCCACCCTGGAGTAACCAGAGCCCTGTAGGGTGGTTTGCACACTCAGGTGTGTCAATACACACAGGGACGTGGACAGAATGCCCAAACAGAAGGATCTGGAGGTGGAAAATGTCACCCTGGAGCAGCCAGTTTATTTTCACACTCAGGTGTGTGAATAAACACAGAGACCTGGACACAGGTCCCGCGTAGAAGATCTGGAGGTGAAAATGCCACCCTGGAGCAGGGCAGAGTCAGTTTTCACACTCAGATGTGTGAATAAACACAGGGACATGGACACAGGTTCCAGGTAGAAGGATCTGGAGGTGAAAATGCCACCTTGGAGCAGCCAGAGTGACTTTTCATGCTCAGATGTGTAAACACACAAAGGGGCATGGACAAGGTCCCCAGCACAAGGATCTGGAGGTGAAAATGTCACCCTGGAGCAGCCAGAATCACCCTGCACACTCAGGTGTGTAAATACAGAAAAGTTCATGGACCAGGTCCTGGGTAGAAGGATCTGGAGGTGAAAGTGTCACCCTGGAGCAGCCAGAGTGAGTTTTCATGCTCAGGTGTGCAAACACACAAAGGTTCATGAACACAGGTCTCAGGTAGAAGGTTCTGGAGCAGGGCAGAGGCTCCTGGCCCCACAGAACCCCAATACTCACTATGGTTCTGTCAATGGTGTGCAGGTAGTAGGACACTGGCTTCCCCGTCCAGGACACGGAGCCCTTCAGCGGTGACAGCTCCACCACCCTCATGATAGTGCCAATATCTGTGGGAGGAGAGGCAGCTTAGGCAGAGCCCAGCTAAGCCCAGCCTGGAGTRATCTGRRGCAYGGATCCTRCAGGAAAAAACCCCKCTGGGATTTTTTATAGGGAATTCCTCGCTCYGTGCACCCCACAGCAAACAAACACATGGGGGATGGACATTCCAGCCCCACAGGGAATCCCTGCTTTGGCCAGCAGATGTGTCCCAGACAGTTTTTCCAAGGAACAGCACATGTGTGGGACAGGGTTGAGTGGAACAGTCCCAGGATGTCACCAGCCCTGTCAACTGCAGCTGCCCCATATTTGGATGGGCACAAACGTGGTTTGGCTTTGCTTCCTCGTCCATATTTGTTTTGTTCTCCAGAATTAATAGCTMTGGGATGTGCCTTAAACATTCCTAAAACCGCTGAGAGAGTGGCAGGGCTGCAGGAAAAACCCTGGCACCCTGTTTTTAATTAAACACAAATTAGCCAGAAGAGGCCAAAAGCAAGGTTTGGCATTCAGCAGCCCCCAGTGCTATTTTAACCACATTTTAATGCTTGTTTGCATTTGTCCCAACTCTTTCCACATTTCCACTTCTTCCTCCAGATGGAAYTGCTAAGGACAAAAGTGGTGTTGAGGGAAGTGGTGCCTCTTTCTTAARGCTTGATCTTTTCCCAGTGTTTTGTGTAAATGATTTAATGCTCATCCTCAAGATCAGAGGGTTTGATAGGCAGGTGAGACGTGACTCCAGTCATGCTCAGGCATCAAAAAAGAGCCTGGATGAATAAAAATGTTCTGAAAAACCTTGTGGGGCAGCAGCAGAGCAGAGCCACACTCTGCTCCATGTGCATGGGGATGGCATTTCCCTGAAGTGTCACCTGGGACGAGCCCCAGGCCCAGCACATCCCCCACAAACCCATTTGATATTGGTAATACCCAAAAAAACCAGTGCCAGAACAGGGTAAAAACCTAAAATTTATTCCCTGTTTGCAGCATGCAAAGATAATTTTTCCAGGGTTTTTTCTGTGAATCCCTGGAATTTTCCTCCTGGTGGAAGTTGTTGTCTGTCCCCCTGCTCAGCCTCTCACCCATCCAAACCCCAATTACTCATCTCGATATTATTTGAACATCAGCATTTCCATYCAATAGCAGCTGATATCTGACACTTCAGCATTCCAGAAAACATTCCCAGAGAATCCACAGCRGGGTGGGAGCTGGGATGGGATGGAGAACTGGCTCCACTGGAGGTGAAAGGAGCAGCCCATGTCAACCTCAGTGTCCCAAATRAAGCAGAGAAAAAAGGGAATGGGAAGAATCCAGGAAAGCAAAGGCTTGAGAGGCCAAACGCTGCRTTTTTGTGGGCAAAAATTTCATTTTCTAATTGAAATTGAAACCCAAGGGCCTTCTTGGGTTTCCTCAAGCTCTGCATCAAGGTTCACTCAGGCTCTCTGTGCCTCATTAGCAAACTCAAAGCCTGATCCCAGCCCTCCCCAGCTCGGAGCAGTTCCAGAAGCACCATTCCACCTTTTTTCTCTTTTATTTTGAAGTCCATTTCTCAAAAAAAAACCAAAAAAAAAACCCAAAAAAAACCCAAAAAAACAAAAAAAAAAATTGGCAGTCCAGCACCCAGTGGTCAAAATAAGTTTCCAAACCACCAGAAAAGAGTTTAAAACAGGGAGGAAAAGGGCAGCTTTGGGTGCCTGCTGTGTGGGCCATCCACAAGAATTCCAGCTCGGTAAAAATAACTCCCAGTGGCACCATTTACTCCATGAAAGTCCAAAAATTACTGTTCTTAAAAGTAATTTTAGGCCAAAATTAGCACAGATGGAGATTGGACCTCAGTGAGTTACTCCCTGTGTTTGCCCAGGGAGGGGAAGGAGGAGGTTTTAATTTAAGGAATGTTTRGCACTGGACACAGCAAATTTCTCTAAAACCCAGCTTGGATAGTTCTTCTGCTTGAGAAATTCCATAGAATATTAAATAGAATTTATATTATCAATTATATTATATTATACAAAATAGAAATTTCATAGAATGTAAAATAGAATTCCTATTATTAATTATATTATATTATATTATATAAAATAGAACTTTCATAGAATATAAAATAGAATTTCAAAATCTCCCATGACAGGAAAAGGCAAAGCCATTCATCATCACCTCATTCCATTCCAGCCAACTTTATTGAGGTGATTAATAAAAACAAAAGCAGCAACTCTTAAAATTAATTTTCTCCCAGGCTGACAGGAAATTTACTTCAGAGAAAATCTCTTTTTCTCTCAGAAAAAAACCTCTTTCAGACAGGAAATTTCCAGGAGCTCACTCAAAGCTTTCCCTGCACCTTCCAGGTGAGGTTTGATCCAGGTTAATTCCAACTTTCCTTTGATTTCTATTATTAATTATAGTATATTATACAAAATAGAAATTTCATAGAATATAAAATAGAATTTCTATTACATATTATATTATCACTGCAGCTGAAGGAAAAAAAAAATCACCCYCTTGAACCCCCAATTTCTCCCCAACTCCAAAGCTCCCCAAGCCAGGGACAAACCAATCACCAAACCCCAAAACAGCAGCACAAACCCCATTAAAAGCATCTCTGCTCCTCACTCTTGGGTGAGGTTTTATATTTATTTCAATTCCCATCCCTTGCTGTGCCCTGAGAATCCAACAGCATTTTCTATTTATTTAGTCTAAATATATCTATATTTATTTAGTCTAAATATATCTATATCTATACCTAATATAATCTATATTTAGTCTATATATATCTATATCTATTTATAATCTATAATTTAATCTAAAAACCAACAATGTCCCCCCAAGATGTGTTCAGATAATGAGCACCCCACAATTATAATGAACAATAAAAAGGGCAATCATACCACTCAAGTTTCGACTGTTAATTCTAAAATTTAGAGGTGCAAAAGGTTTTGAGGACACAATTCTCCCACCTGGAAAAAGGAAAGGGAAAAAAAAAAAGAAAAAAAGCACAGTCAGCTCCATTATTTGTTCTAGAAATAACAATTTATTAAATATAACTCAGTACAGAGCCCTAAAGAGCAGCCCTATAAAATTGCCCCTTGAATAGCATTAAAAATAGAAATAAATTCCTTAATTCTCACTCTGTCAGCCCCAAGAAAGCCAAACTGTGATTCCTGCCAGGTGACACCTTGAGAATCGCTTTAAAATGAGAGATTTGAAACACTTGAAAAAAAAAAAAAAGCCCCACATTAATTCTCAGCTGCAATCAAAAGAAATTTCAATTATCTCCTTCCTATTTGGGACCTTTTCTGCACAAACCCCCAAAGCCTTTTTTATTTAAAGGTCACTAATCTCCATTTCACGGGTATTTGGGGTCATTCAGCATGYTTTGGGAAGAGAAATAAGGTTTTTTTCACTGTAAAGAGCTCCTCAAGCATCCCCACCTTCCCACTGCTCTCCAGCCACCATTAAACGAGTTGAAAAACTAAAAATGAAACCAGCTAAATTAAAGAAAACAGCTGAAGTTTCGGGGTTTTATGGTTTGCWACAGAGCCCAAAAGTGCCATTATTTATTTCAGCACAAAGCTGTGCCACGGGAAGCCGCAGCTGCTTTGTTCACACCACACAATTTTCTTTCCAGAAATGGTTATTTCTGGCATTTCTGCCCCGACCAAGGAAAACTGTTGTTGTGCCAGTGGTTAAAAGAAGAGAAAAAACAGCCAGGGCAGTGCAAAGGCCATGGAGGGGTTAGAGGGTGTCCCAAATTGCAGGGTGGCTCCTCAGGGAGGATCCAGGRGCAGKRTCCCTGTTTTTATGGAATTRGGGAAYTYCAGAAAATTYTAAATTAATGTTGGAAAAGAMCTTTAAGATCATCAATTGCAACCATTGAGCCCCACACCATGGTCACCAYTAAAGGCTGTCCCCARGTGCCACATCCACACTTTGGGGACATTTCCAGGGGTGGGGACTGCAGCTGAGGTGACACTGAGCACTAAAKGTGACAGCTTTGATCAGGAGATCCCACTAAAGAAATCCCACATGGAATCACAGCCTGGCTTTCCAAAACTGAGCCTCTGCAGGAAAGAATCACGGAATGGGTTGGGTTGGAAGGGTCCTTAAAGATCATCCAGTGCCACCCCTGCCATGGCAGGGACACCTCCCACTGTCCCAGGCTGCTCCCAGCCCCAATGTCCAGCCTGGCCTTGGGCACTRCCAGGGATCCAGGAGGTCTGGCCTTGGCTGTGGGGTGTTTATTGGGGTCACAAAAGAGGGGAAATGGAGCAGCAGCTCCTCCCAAGCTCCAGCTCCCCCCATGCAGCAGGGATGCTCCAAGGGCCAGGCAGGAGGGAAGCAGAAATCCCACAGGGGTGCAACACTCAGCCCCAAGGCACAAAAAAACCCCAGCCTGGCTCTGCCAGTTGGGACTGCACCCCCTCCCACCCCACCTCCCACAGGAATCAGGAAACCAAGAAAAAAAAAAAAACATTTCCAGTTGGATTTACCTTCCTTCATGTTGGCAAAGCGCTCCTTCAGCTGGTGATCCACCTCGGGCCCGAAGGCAAAGTTATTCACRAAAATAACGCTGCAAAACAAGGGGGCAGTTACAAATCAGGAGGCAGGAACACCCCAAAAGGAACATCCCAAAAGGAACACCCCACCAGGTCCCCAAAGCCACCTGGAGCCCTCTGTCCCAAATGAGTGCRCTTGAGATCGCCCAAAAAAGGTAGTTTAAGGAATTCCCTTTTTTAATTTATATTTTAAAGTCCAACCATTCTATATTTATATTCTTAAATTCTATTTTGTAATTTTCACTCTATAAATAATCATGTAAGCACCTTGTATAATGAAAACAAATATTTTTTAGATCAGCCTGGAAAAGGGGAGGGGGTGGGGGATAAATCAGCACACCAACCCAGCCTCCCTTGCCATAGACACACACAGCTCCTCACACGTGGAGTGCACAACACGCTCCACTCCATCCCATAACTGCTTTGGGGCAGTTAAAATATTGCATCAAATATCAAAAT